TGTTGACCCAACCTCCCAAGAAAGAAAAAGAACATTGTTATGCCAACTACTTGAGTATACAACTGCTGTAGGCAGAGCAGCCCACCTGATTTCCATCTGCTTACAGGGTAACCCTGCTCAGGAAGAGCAATTGAAAGAGGAAGTGAACAAGTCTGAGTCTGAAGGAGAACTAGAGGCAGATGGTCGACCCAAGAGGTTCAGGCCACCAACAAGAAATCGAGTGAGCATATACCAGAAAATGTTGGCAGTTCGTGAAGCAGACCGCCTCATAGAAAGCGGCATGAAAACAGGCATTGAAAAAAAGGTGATGGCTACATTTCCTGATATCTTTCGTGGGCGGACTGGCATGAAATCGGGCATGCTTGGGAGGTGGATGGTCCAGTCCAAGGAGCAGTGCTGGGACCAAATTCCTTGGGAGAAGATGTCGGCTGAAGATCGCAAGATGAAGGAGTTGCCTGATTGGGTTAGGCAGCCGTTGGGACTCAACAAGCGCATGAGGTTTTCTGCTGGGAAGGACATTCCACAGGTTGTGAAAAGTGGTCTCATTAAGCTTGTGGAGCGCGTGAGTTGTGGAGGAAAAGATTCGGAGCTCACTTGTGGAACTGCAGCGACGAAACAGCTCAAAGAGGAAGCAGAGGCACTTCTTCAGAAGTACAACGAAGCGCAAAGTCAGGTCGCCAGTGAGCACAATGTTGACGTCCCTCTTTGCAAGGCAAAGGTGACTACCAAGTGGGTCAACCGTTTGTTGAAAAGCTCGGGCATTTTGAGAAGATCCCCGAACACGATGGGGGCATACCTTGAATATGATGATCAGCGAATGTGTCAATCGCGAAAAGCTTGGAAATTTGTCAGGTGGGGGGACATTTGTGCAAAAAGGTTGTTTGTTTTTGTTGTTGTTTGTTTGTTTTAGTAGACATGCTGTAAGCAAACTGCCTTTCTGCTAAATGCCCTTGAAGGATGGATAAGCAAATCAGAGCTGATCTGTGCTTGAACTTCGACCAAGTATGGAAGTGTGCGTATGTGCATCCTGACAAAGTCCTTTGCCGCGGGAATGCCAACATTAACCTCTTTGGAAAGCGTGATGCAGTGGAGAAGCAGATTAGAGCGCTACAGGGGGATGCAGAAGTATCATGGGACGCCAAGCGCCGGAGAGTACGAGGCAGGGACTTGATTTACTGTGTGCACTGCAAGGATATATAATATATATACTGTATATAACGTGTGATTCTGCTGATTCTCCATCCATCATGGGGCCACACCTGTTATATATAATATTGCATACACGAGAGAGGGCCTTTGTTTGACACCTCCATGATGCTTTGGCAGGCAAAGATGCTAGAGCAGACAACATTGATGGCGCCCGCCATGCAATGACCATGGTGACATCATTGTGGGGAAACGGCGAGTGTGGGCCTTTGTGCTTGGTTTTGCCCTCTGGCTTCCTGTCCAGTGAGAAGATCTTGGATTTGCAGTCTCGCTTTGCTCCAGGCCTCTTCATCATCTGCACCGAGAGGGAGAGCCATTTCATGAATGGCGACACGGTCATGGACTATTTCGAGCAAGTCCTGTCACCTTCCTTTGAGCGTAGGCGGACGCAGCTTGCAGAAAGGTACCAGCGCTCATTCGAATCGGAGTGGGGAGCTCTCCTGTGTGACAGTTTTACAGGGCACCACTCTTCGCAAGCAGGAGTCGACATCCAGAGTGACTTGGCTGGCGCGAGTTACAGGGAAGGGATGCAGTAAGCAGATTGCTTGAGGTCTGCATCATTCTGATCCCTTTGGATTGTCAATGGCTTTTTGGGAAGACATCATATGTTTGAAAGCTATTGATATATATATATATATTATATTATATATGTGGGTGTTTAATTGTAAATATTGTATGCGTATAGAGAGAGAGAGAACACACGCTGGCAAGATAGGAAGGGTGGGGACCTCTCGCTCCTTGTGTATACAGCAGTTTTGCAGAAAATACTCTTGCCTTGCAAGGAAAGATGTGGTCGGAGACATCTCGGGTGTTGCTGCCACAGCGGCAGCCTGGCGGATGGAGCGCCAGAGGTCAGCCTTGTGACGCTATCCACTCGCTTCTCAGAAAATACATTGCAACATACATGGACACGATTCTGGGGTACCGTGGGCGGCTAGTGGATAGAGCGAGCCAGGTTCCTCTGTTGATGAGCAACGGGAACCGTCACCTTTCCGTTTCACACGAAGAAGCTTGCCTGGCTTGCGTGTATGGCTTCAAGCGTCTCGGGAAGTCACGCCATGTGCTGAGGCAGGGTGAGAGAGCTGATTTGTAGTGACGTAGTGTGAGTGATTTGTGTTTAGACCTAAGATTTAAGAGTGTGTACATATATATATATATAGATATATTTATATATTTCATATATTTGTATTTGTATTTATATACACCTATATTTGTCTGTGCATGTCCCCAGTAAGCAGCGAACCTCCATTCTGCTTACTGGGTGGGGCAGAGTGAAACTTTCTCCAGGTGGGCGTGGCTTTCACGAGGGATGATGTCAAAGGAAGAGCTGGTTTCCACCAACAAAGACGTTCCTGACCTCACCATTGACACCCTGACAAAAGAGATGGAGGAGTGCGAATTGCGAGTTGAGGACAATGAGTGGCAAGTCCCAGTTGACGAGGTGTTTGAGCAGCCAGACATCAATCGAACTACGTTCTTGTGGCAGATTCAAGACCGTGGTGATCCATCCAATGCAGAGTCCTGGGAGTCTGAGGAAGATCGTTGGTGCTGCTTGCCACAGCAGTGGCAAAAGATTTTGAACAGTCGACTTGCATCTTACCATGCTTCAGTGCAAGATGCCCATGCGTTCTACCAACACAGGAAGGACACTCTCGGGGAGGACCAGACCAAGACCAAGAATGCCAAGAAGAAGTACGATGCAATCTTGTCAGGTGAGCACGCCATCAGCGCCATTCTGATCAGCAAATCCTCGGGAAAGGAGTGCAGCCAGAAGCAGTACACCAAAGATGTGAAAACGGTGAAGGGTGTTGTGACCATCAGCGTCAGCAAGTGTGTCAGGCCGTTCAAATTGGACATCAAAACCATGACCTTAACTGAGCTTTTTCCAGACAACCAGGAGCAGACACGACAGTTGAGACTGGTTTCAGCCACCGGCCGGTCCAGAGAAATTCAGGAAATCCGAGTCCATCTCACTGCACTGTCGCTTCAGTCTTCCAAGGTCTTGGGGGAGTCAAATCTTCCCAAACCTAATGCTGGAGGTGGAGCTCAGCAGGATGTTGAAGAACCCGGTGATGATCAGGATGATACTGAGCATCAACTGGCTGAGCTAGCTGAAGACAAAGCAGAGGATTTGGGTGCAGAGGCCAGAACTGTCGACCTAATGCAGTAAGCAGATGGCGTGCTTCTGCTAATAGGACATTGAAGAGCGGCCCCCCATGTGTTCATTCTGACATTTTGTTTTGGGAGAGGTGGAGGTACAGTAGGGGGTCCAAGGGGTTACAGCTGCAAGGAAGCGATGTTCTCCTTCCTTTTCTCCTTCCTTCCTTCCTTCCTTCCTTCCTTCCTTCCTTCCTTCCTTCCTTTATATGGGTGTATATACATATATATATATATCTGTGTGTGTGTTGTTCCTTGAAATATATTTTATGCAGTCATTTTGTTTCACCTGGCGATTGTTTTGGAGACGCTCATATATTTCCCGTGTTCTTTCTTTGCGGAGAGCAGGGAGCCGGGTGTTTGGAAAAATTCTATAGGATGGGATACAGCAGTAAGCAGAGAACGGGTGTCTGCTTAGAGGGTTATTGGAATGCTGCAGGCGGCTATGGCTGAGTACCAAGATGGTGACGAAGGTGCACATGAGAACATTGATCAAGGAGATGAGCATATGCACAGCGAGGCGGAGCAAGGGAGTGAAGATGAAGGCTCCGAGGGCGAGAGTTTCGTTTGGGAGTTCCCAGATGGTGGGCATGTCTTCGAGGTGCCCGCTGAGATTGAGGAGAAAGACAAGGGGTCTGAGCCGGCCAGTGAAGTTGCGGTTGCAATCTCTGGACCCAAGCTTACGACTTTCGAGAATGTCCCAGCCTTTGCATTTCTGAGCAAAATTGGTCTCACCATGTTGCCCAATTGTCCAGGAGTAGGCATCGGCATACATGCCACCACAAAGTGCTGGCAGATTCGTTATCCTGCAGATGGACAAGCCTCCGTTGCCCGATCTTTTGGGCACCTGAAGAAGGGCTTTGTTTCATCATCTGAGGCACTCCTGCGGTGTCTGCTGTGGGTTTGGCAGCAGCATTCCGCCAAAAACCCGGGATGCCCCATTTGTTCGGAGCGAGTGACTTCCTTAAAGGGAGCCTTGGTTGTGAAGTTGGGCTTTGATTTGGACTCGAAGTAGTCTTAGTCTTTGCCGCCCCGAGAGATTCCAGCCAATTTGCAGGTAATCTGCATGTACAAGTTTTTGAGTGCTAGAATTTAGTTTGTGTTGCCGCCCCAACGCTGGCTTTGGCCCCATGGTTGGTGCAGGGTTCTGGCAATTTGCATGGAGTACAGGGCCAATATTAAGGCCACAAACATGGCGAAAGCAGGGAGACAGAAAATACACGTGGCTGTGTGTGTGCTCTATTTTTTGCAGTTGCAACGCAACCCAGTAAGCAGAGTGGAACCACACAAAAAAACATACCATGTGGACCCCCCAGTAAGCAGAGAGGAATCATGAAAAGGCCCATGTTGGGGTCCATCCTGGGCCCCCCTCAATCTGGCATCTGCTACTTGTTTGCCCTCAAAGCCTTTCTGCCTAGTGGTTGTCCTTGACTATATGTATGATATGTGCAAAAACATGTTGTTTTGGTCATCATTGTAACCAAATGTTCCTGCATGTCTCCCTCTCTCTATATAATATATATGTATATTACAAGTGTTGTTATTAAAACGCGTTAGATTGTGTAGAATACTATGTGTGTGTTCTCTCGAAGACGCGCCTTGCCCTACAAGCTCCACTGGCCCTGCTCCACCCCGTCCTCGGGATCGTTGTCCGAGCCCATCCTGGAGGGCGGAGAGCTGAGAACCAATGGACCGAGGGCATATGTTCAAAAACCAGGACAAACCAGGACCCTCATGTCAGGCTCTGGGACCACATGTGGGGACGCACCGAATCTGGTCTCAGGAATTGTGAAAAGCTGAGACGTTGTTCCTATCATGATCATGTCCTATCTCATGTGTCCAATTGTCAATTGTTCGAACAGTGCAATCTTCAGCGGAGCTTTCAGGTGTTTAAGATTAATGAATCAATGAATGACTTCTGAGGTGAACATATAGACAAGCAGCATTTCAAAATGAGTTTGAGGCTCACACATGTATACATAGAATACATACATAAACAAACACATCCAGTCCAGCCTGCATCTTGCTTGGGGTGTGGGAAACGCTAGCATACGCTAGTATATATAGTAATACAATGTAATACATAGTATACGCATGGTTTTTGCAAAAGGACTTCCAGCCCGAGAATGTGATTGGCACATGTTCCATTGCAGTATATATGGTTCTGATATGTTGCGATAGCCGGTGAAAGTTTTGTGAGGCCCTGTACTGGCGTACTGGATTTCCCCAAACGAAACCGAACCGTTTCTATGAGGGTCACAGCATTGTAAGAAACAGGGGTAGGAAAACATGGCTGGCACATGCTGGCACAAAGCAAAGCTTCTTTTATTGGCTTAAGTGGCCTAGAAACCATTCTTCCCGACCTGATGCCAACACCGGATGACAACCCGTCGACCAGATTTTGAGCCAAAGGTTGACCAACCTTCCCCCAACAATGTGGCTCTTCAAACAGCGGACATCCAGCCATGTTGGCGCCCTATCAAGTGAAGCTCTCCGAACGAGCAGCTGCCCAATGGAATACTGTAAGCAAACAATAAGCCAGCACAAGGGTTGTCTTTTTTAAATAAGGGGAAGGTGTGGGTGAAAGGCAATTGCATTTTGTAGCATGCTTGACTTGGGAAACTAAAACTTTGAGACAGTGACAGGGAGACAAATAACAAATGCTGAGGCATACGAGGCAAATCAAAGGTATTTAGTATTCCAGGGGTCAGCCTGACCAAATCGATTCGGCAGAGGGTTTGTTACTTCCGAGGGCATTCATGATTCCGCGGAAAATGCTCTGAGGGGGACCAGTGTCACCTTGGAGCTCCTTGCAAGAAACTGTCCATCAAGGTGAAAGAATGTAAAGACATCCAGGCTTCAATTCATGTAACTAAGGTGACATTCCTATCATTTCATGTCCTATCCTGTCGTTTGGCCTCTCATTCGGGAAAACCCTCCTATCTCCGGCGTGTCCAGTCTCGTCCGCTCGGCCCGCCCCTTCAAGGAGCTCCAGCCGTTCTGTGGCCCACATGCGAAAACCCATACCGTTGCATTTGAGTCTTTATTAGACCAACCTTGCTTTTTTTAAAAGCATTTTGGGATAACCAATGCAATTTTTTTGTACACAATCTTTTCTTGAGAATCATCAGACCAAGCCCCGTGCAATGGGGGCCCAGCCGTCAGTTTTAGGCTCTGCTTGGGACCCCCTCTGGGTCGCGCTTCCCCTCCGACGACGCCCTGGCCCATCGGAATTGGAAGTCAACGATGGTGATCTGGCATGCCTGGCAGAAGAACGGCACTCTTTCTCAAGTTCTCAAAGGATGGGTTGACGTTGTCATAGATTCTTGTATGCTTTGAGGCTCCATTTGTGGGATTACACTTGACACCGTTTCACTCCCATCACATCTTTCCACCATTGCAGGTTTGTTTCTCTGGCCTGTGAATCTGAGCTACCGGGTCCGGGTGATGCTCTGGGCGCCCGTCGCTTCCGAAGGAGTCGACTCGTCGACGCCAAACGATCGGGTAGACCATCTCTCCGGTGGAGGCCATCGCTCTTAGGTTACTGGGTATATCAAAGATGGAACATCCCAACGTCTGGGACGGTCTGGGGGATCCCATCGGGGGAATATTGGGATTCTGCCATTGCCCAAGCTGCCGGCTTGAGACAGCTTAAGATCTAGATTGGGGAAACCAGGAGACCTGCTTGTATATTCGACCGTAGTTCATCGTGGCTCTTCCCTGCTTATTGCCCTTGTGCAAACTTAGGCTCTTAGACCCTCAACTGCCTCTCCCTTCAATATTTAACAAATGTGTCCGCTTCTCTCCTTCCATGCACCATGTCACTTCAGGTTCACCTGGAGAAAGAAGAGCCAAAACACATTGAGAAACCCACCTCATTGGGGTCTGTGCTTTTCTCCCAAAAACAAAGCCGCGTGGACTTGGAATTGGCATGATCTTCAACACTCTTCCAATCGTCCAAACATCACTGAATCATTGTTCCGCAACTGTCTATGTCAAACTGTTAGGTCTTCGGATGTGTCAACGTCGCCAAAAATTCAATCTAAATGACAGCCACTGTCAATTAATTAAGTTAAGATACAACCATCATGAACCTTTCAAAACAACGGGCCGGGAACTCTGGGGGGCAAAGGGGCGGAGGTACTTCCTCCCCTTAAAAATACACAAGGAAACGCAGTTGCTCTGTCAGGGTAAAGGGCGAACACATAGCAAGTCACTTCAAAAATCACCAGTCAAATGTCCAAACCCCGAAGAACATGCTGCGTTTCAGACCTTTTCAGTCCATTTGAAGCACCACCCAGCAAATTAAGATCCTGCCCGCACGGAGCAAACAACAAAAACAACCAAACGGCACCTGGCCCAACCAAGCCCCAAAAAACCATTTCTTGATCTCTTATATACTATACATATATAACTACACAGTTCATTGAGTTGCAAATGGATCCTAAATAAACCACCTCGGCCTCCATTTCTCCCCCCAAAGAAAAATCACGCACGTTCTGAACAGCTTCTTCGGCACGCCACTTCGGTCGGAACCCCCACCTTCTGCGGCCCGAGGAGGCGGAGGACTCCACTTCGATCATCCCCAAGGGATCCCTGGGCGCCTGAGGTGACCCGTGGTAAACCCGGTGGAGACCGGTGGCGACCCGAAAAGTCCCGTCCTTCAGTCTGACTGAAATGACATTTTTCAAAGAACACCAAGTGATGTCAAGTGGAATCTAACACCTGCCTATACATATGTATGTATTTATGTATGTATGTATACACACATGTGCCTGTATATGTGAGTTACTGTGAGTCACTAATCAAATAGGAATTACATCCCGTTGCTACCGACTACCCCTCCATTTTACCCAGAAATTGGTTGTATAATATTACTTTTCACACACACACCAAAGGTCTTTAATCTAAAACACTTTCTGTCGTGACTGGTTAAATTGGCTAGCTAATTTGACTCGTTTGCAAATCTGTCGCTGCCCTCAGTTACTTTTAAGACCCACTTTAGATAACCCTTAAGCTAAATTTGTCAAATAGAATGTTTTTCCCCACCTGTCAGGTGAGGGTTGTCAGACTTTACGTCAGCCCCATCTCCTCCTCCTCATCCTCCTTCGCCTCCTCGTCCTCCTCCGCCGGACCTCAACCACGACCATCCACGCCCAGTGTTCCCTGCCGGACCTCAACCACGACCATCCACGCCCAGTGTTCCCTGCTGGACCTCAACTGCGAGCTCCAGGCCCAAGTGTTCCCTGCTGGACCTCAACCACAGCACACAACCACAACCACAATCACAAACACACAACCACAAACACATAACCACAAACACAACCACAAACACACAACCACAAACACATAACCACAAACACACAACCACAAACACACAACCAAAAACACATAACCACAAACACAAC